GTTCATCCATGTTGCAACATGTACCAGTGCTTCGTTCCTTTTTATTGCCAAATAATATTTCATTGTTATGGCTATACCACATTTTATTTATCCATTCATTAGCTCATGGATATTTAGGTGGTTTCTACTTTTTGGCTCATGTGAATAATGTTACTGTGAACATTCCTATACAAATTTTGTGTAGACATAGTTTTCCAGTTCTCTTGAGAATATAACTAGGAGTGAAATTGCTAGGTCATATTAAGTTCTTTTTTGACATATGCTGTTGGATACAGAAAATTGCCTCCCTTACTGGGTGGCCTTTAGGAAGAGGATCCAGGAAGTATGATTATGGTCACCTCCTAAGTAAGTAGTTAGAGTCTATGGACCCTTCTGTGGGTTTGATGGCTACATGCCACATCTGGGGATTGAGCTTTAAGAGACCTGCTTCCTCTTACCACCCTCTGATGAAGCCCTGCAGGATCCCTCCTGCCACTCCTGTGGGGCCCCAGTCAGGAGTACCTTGTGTTCTGGCTACAGGTGTGTGATGGATGATGACAATGAAGTCAGGGACCGAGCCACCTTCTATCTCAATGTCCTGGAGCAGAAGCAGAAGGCCCTCAACGCAGGCTATATACTAAATGGTGAGTCTTTCCCTGTCTGTCTTTGACCCTACCAGCTACCAGAGCTGTGACCCTTCTTGTCACTCCAGAGTAGGCACATCCTCCCTGGTTAGGGGTAATCTGAGGCAAGACACTCTTGGCTGCAATTTCATGGCAACTTCATGACATCCCTGTGACCTTAGGAGACCTCAGGTCATGCGGCTCACACCAGAGTGCATGGAAACAGCCCAGTGAATCGAAACATTAGTCATTAATAAAAACCTCTATTTGCATAGCTCTTTACCCTTTATCAGTCACTCCTGTATGTATGTTTACTCTACACAACAATTCCATGAAGGAGGGTGTGGATGAGGTAGTGGAGGCTCAAAGAGTTAAGTGGCTTTCTCAGGGTCATACAACCTAGACCCCAGGGCCTCAGTTTTCCATGAGAGATTCCTGGTGCTCATTCAAGCAGAGTGACCTCTCTCTCCCACTGGCCTCTAGGTCTGACAGTGTCCATCCCTGGTTTGGAAAGGGCTCTACAGCAGTACACCCTAGAACCATCGGAAAAACCTTTTGACCTCAAGTCTGTGCCCCTGGCCACCACACCCATAGCAGAGCAAAGAACAGGTAAGTAACACCTACAACTCCTTTCAGAGGCCCTCAAAGTTTCAGGCCTCCATTGGAGGGTCTGCAATGGCCACAAAGCCACTAAACCTAACCAGGATGGATGGTGTTGTGCAGGGAGGAGGGAACAATCTTTCTTGTCTCTGGCTCCAGGAAATGGAGATGCATACAGACAAACACTTGCTCTCTGTCACGTGTTCTGTACTTCACACTCTCAGGAAATTACAATTTCTAAGTAACAGCACCATGCTTAACATGACACTGCCCCACTACTGGAGATGTTGATTACCATGTGTCTTTGCTTCTGCAGAAAGCACTCCCATCACAGCAGCCAAGCAGCCTGAAAAAATGGCAACTACCCGTCAGGAGATCTTCCAGGGTGAGTAGCAGTGCTTGGTGGGGCTCTCAGGAATAGGGTTTAGCCTCCTCAGGTTTGGAGTTGCTTTCCTCAGGGGAATTTAGAGTAAGAACTGTTGTTTATTGGGTCTATCCTGAGAGCTGTGCCCTGAGAGTACTTTAGACAGCACATTTGACCCTCATGTGGAGTATATTAGATCCATTTGGAATCTGAGGAATTAGAAATTCAGAGAAAGTAGTGATTTGCCCAAGGTTGTACAGTAAGGAAGTAGAAGGGCTGGAATTAAGATTCAGATTAAACTGGCTCAGAGCTGTCTCTCAGCCTTGGTTCTAAAAGCTTAAACCACTGGAGGACAGGCCAGTTCAGGATGTCTCTTTCAGCATAGTTGGGGTCCAAAGACACTGGAACTTTTCCTTGAGTTCTAGATTGTATTCAGTCCATGTCGTATTGTAACATTAGTTTAAGTATTCATCTATTCTTCTGATCATGCATTTTTAAGGGGCAAGGCTGTGTATTTAATTGCTAGATCACCTTATCCATTGAATCCCGACCTTCAAGGGCTAGCACATACCTCTGTTCCTTTGTGAAGCCCTTACTGATCTCCTAAGCTCTTCTGTTTGATCACTTCTACTCCAGCGTTTCTGTCTTTTAAACAGTTCTGTGTGGTTCTTCACATGCTCTGTCATTTATTTTCTCTATCTATCACTGCACTTAGCACAGTGTCTTCCTTCCTCAGAGTAGGCCCAGTTATTGTTGAATTGAATTAAATCCCCCTTTTCCACTCCATAATCCTGTCTCCTATCAATATATTATCTTTCAGATTCAAGAAAACTAGGATCCTAAGCTAACTGGGATCACTCGTAACCCAAAACTTCTCGTTCTGTTTTAATTCCCTCATACTGCTATCACAAATCACCACAATTTACTGTCTTAACACAATACGAATTTATTATCTTAGGTCAGAAGTCCAAAATGAGTTTCACTGTGTTGGCAGTGCTGAGCTCCCTCTGGAGGCTGTAGGGGAAAATAGTTTCCTTACGCAGTGATCCCTTCCTCCATCTTCAAAGTCAGCAGCATAGCCTCTTCAAATCACTCTGACCCCCCTGCCTCCCTCTCATAAGGACCCTGTGATTACATTGGGCCCACCGAGGTAATCCAAGATAATCTCTCCATGTCAAGATACAACTTAATTATATCTGCAAAGTCGCTTTTACTGTGTGATGTAACATATTCACAGGCTCTGGGAATTAGCACGATAACATCCTGGGGCGACCATTCTGCCACAACTTTCAAGGAAGACTCCTCCGAAGCCTCTTAGAGGGTATTGATTCCATTTTTAAACAGTCTTCCAAAGCCTAACATTTATTGATCACATGTTAAGTTCGGGAACTTTGCTAGATCTTGACATTTATTGCCTCATTTATCTTCGTAACAACCCTGTGAGCAGTGAGCAAGATTATTGCATCTATTTTATTGATGAAGACTATGAAACTTAGAGACATTAACTGATAGCTACTAACAGAATCCTCCAGATAATGTCAGGTCTAGAAATTTGAGGGCCAATGAAATGAATTCCCATAGAAAAGCACTCTGGTGGCTGATGATCATGATCACGGTGGCCTAATAGTCCCTCCTAATAGCTAAGCTGGCTCTTTCTGGGCTTCTGGTAAGGCCTAGCCCTACACCACACAGCCAGGTTCCAGCAGTGGGCTGGGTCCTGTAGTCCTTCAGGCTACAGAGGGCTGAAACAACCATGTAGGCTCTTTGTGGTGCGGGGTAAGCAAAATAATAATAATAAGGCCTACTTTCTGTTTCTGTCCCTCAAACATGAATTAAGTGCCTACTAAGTACAGGGCAAAATAACAGATCTCTGGCCTCAGAGTACAATTCCTGTCCTTATAGAGTTCAATTTAATTGGGAAGACAAGTTGAAAATATTAGAGCAGTGGTCTTCAAATATCAGTAGACATCAGAGTCATCTGAGAAAAGTTGTTAGAAATTCGGATTCCTGGGTCGCAAACTGAGAGATTATAATAGAGCAGATTTGTGATGGGTCCAGGAATTGGAGTTTTTAATGAGCTCTCTACACTAGGTAATTCTGACACAGATGACCCATGACCATAGTTTGAGGAATCCTGTTTCTGCCATAGAATAGGGAAGAGAAGAGAAGCTTTAGCCATCATAGGTGGACGCCATGTCCAGACAGCTTCCAGATGCCTCATTCACCTGGTCAGGCCAGAGGACCCAGCCCACTGCTGGAACCTGGCTGTGGAGTATAGGATTAAGCCTTACCAGATGCCCACAGACTACTCTTAAGTTGGGTTTTCTGCAACACTCTGAATCTGAAACATCTCTTTTTGTTTTAATTTATTTTTCAATTACAGTTGACATAACAATGTCATATTAATTTCAGCTGTACAATAAAATATCTCTTTATTGGCCATTTGTCTTAACTGACAAATGTATAGGACCAGATTGTTCTTTTACCTGATTCTAGCTATAACAACATCCAACTCATCCTCTTAGTCATTTCCTACTCTTCATCTTAAGAATCCTTGCTGAACTTCTAATGGATTGCACGTAGGACACTGGGGTCTCCCAGTCAGTTTGTTGCTTCTGAAGTCTTTTTCTGGGACAGAGAGAAGGTAAGCATTCATGGTGGGTAGTACAACTTGAACAAAGTTAGGGAGATGAGAAAACACATCAATGTATTTAGGAAATAGTAACTAGTTGTGTGTACATATCCACCCACTTGGTAGGATGAAAATCCTTGATAATTGGGCATGAGCATTTATTAAAAACTACCACAAGTTGGTCTGGGAGCTGCAAAGCTGAGTAAATGTGTGACCTGTGGTTTTCAGAGCAGTTGGCAGCAGTGCCAGAGTTTCATGGACTGGGGCCCCTCTTCAAGTCCTCGCCTGAACCTGTGGCCCTCACTGAGTCAGAAACAGAGTATGTCATCCACTGCACCAAACACACCTTCACTGACCACATGGTGTTCCAGGTGAGCAGGGAGGGCTGAGGCCTCCTAGGACCAGGGAATGGTCCTAGGTCTGATGGGGGTCTATGGGGTCATGACACCCCCCGCACTGACTTAGTTGGGAGCCCAACTTGATGATGGGGTCTGTCTCATGCACCCTTGACCCAGGACCTTTCCGGCTTCTGGGTGTTAACATGGAGAAAAGGAGCCTGGGCAGGGTGACTGGCCCACGGGGTGAGAGGTGGAACTTCCTGGTTCTTCCACTGCATGAGGGCTTGGACCTAGAGCAGCATCTAAGCAAACCCTCTCCTCCCGGGTCCAGTTTGACTGCACGAACACACTCAACGACCAGACCTTGGAACATGTCACGGTGCAGATGGAGCCCACTGAGGCCTATGAGGTCCTCTGTTACGTGCCTGCCCGGAGCCTACCCTACAACCAGCCTGGGACCTGCTACACGCTGGTGGCACTGCCTAAGGAAGACCCCACAGCTGGTGAGCCCCTTTCCAGATACCAACCTGGCCTCATTGGAGCCCTCAGGATCAAGATGGAGTAGGCAGCTTGTGCACCAGCCTTTTGTCTCCTACTAGAGCTTTAATTCTTTGATTTCAGTGCTGAGAAGAAGAAGAATGGCTAAGTGCCAGGTGCTTTTCATACATGATCTCATTTCCTCCTCATGGAAGACCTATGGGGATAAGTACTGCCATCCCTATTCATAGATGAGGAAACTGAGACTCAGGTTAAATGGCTTGTCTAAGTTCAGATGGCTGGTAAGAGGCAGAACCCAGGTCAACTGATCCTCAAACTAATACCCTTTCATTATGCCATGAAAAAGTACAAAGATAAGCACAAAGACTGAAACATTCCAAATCCACTACTCCCAAGGAAACCACTAGCTTCTTTTTCTAGGCCTTGTACAGTGGACCTGTGACTGTTACGTGGACGTAGTTGTCCTGAGTCATTTCTGCTTTCCTCTTCTTCCCTTCTCCATGAGGGGATTTCTTGAACCCATGACTCGATTCTCCTGCCTTTCTACAAGGTGGTGCCTTCTGTCCAGATTTGTGGAGTTGGATGGCATGTTGCCTGGATAATGTGGCAGAGACCTAGAGAGCCAGCTGTGGCCACCTGCCCTATGGAGGAGCTTGTCCCCTGACCACCGAGCCTTTCTCTCCCACAGTGGCCTGCACATTCAGCTGCATGATGAAGTTCACTGTCAAGGACTGTGACCCCACCACTGGAGAGACTGATGATGAAGGCTATGAGGATGAATATGTGGTAAGTTAGTGTCAGGAGGCTCAGTTTTGTGCCTAAAGCTGAGAGAAACTCCTTCCTGGAACTAACAACCAAACTTGAAGCATTTTCTTGCTGTTTTTGACTTTATAGTTCTCTTTGAAAGAAACTTTTTTTTAACTTGAAAAAATACATACTTACATATAAAAAGAAAACTTGGGAAATACAAAAGCAAAGTACAAACAAACAGGAAAACATTACCCATAGTCCTGGGGAGTTATTTTGGGATAGGGGGAGAGTTGTATAACTGAGGTCATTCTGTACATTATACAATAGATCTTGCTGTTTTCACATAAAACTGTAGTGTATTTTCCTGTGTCATTACAAATACTTCATAAACACAATTTTTAATGGCTTTAAAACACTATTATATAGCAATATCATAATTCACTTGATTCCTTTAATGTTGGGCATTTGAGATTCCACATTTTCACTATTTATAAATGCTGCATTAAACATCCCTTTAGGTGCAACTTTTATCTGTGTATCAGGTTATTTGCTTAGGATAGATTCCTAGAAGTAGAATAAATCAAAGGGTAAGCATGATTTTAAGACTTTTCTATTTTTTTCAATATTGTCAAATTACTTTCTAGAGAAATTGGATGAGTTTGCATCTGCTAGGCAGTACTTTCATGCACTGAAATAGCCCTTCCAATTCTACCTTTCTGAGTTTAGATGGAATCGTTCTGGGGTTTGACCATGGGACAGTGGTTCAATGCCACCTGAGTGTAGACCATGATGCTCAATTTAGATATAGAGATTGTTAGAGCTCCTTATGACTAGGGGCCAATCACTGTGGAATATAACTGACATCACTGTTGTGGTCACCCTAGAGCCATTGTTGAGGAGGGGACTTCCCTGAGGTAGCAATGACCTTATGGGCAGGAACTGGCCTAGGACCAAGTGATCTTATGGGGAGGGCTGGGTCTGAGGCATTGCTTTTACTGTAGGAGCTGAGTCCTACTTATGCACACCTTAAACATCTACAAGAGTAGGGGCTCAGTGAAGACCTGTTGGGGAAACTTTTTGTACACGCAATCCAAGATGGGAGTTAATTGTATCATGTTAAGTGAGGACACAGCTAAGATGGAAGTGTGGGTCAAATATATGTCAGGCCCAGAGGACACAGCTGAGGTAAGGGGGAGGACCTCCTTAGTCATAGGAGAGATAGAGCCATAGGAGTCAGACCTCTTATGATGTTGCTGTACAATCTCTGGGTCCTTGAGGCACTGACTCTAGGCAGATTTCAGAAGGGATGTGATTCACCCTAAGGTGAATACTTGGGTCAGGGCATTTTCCATTGAAGGGACTACTTGGCTGTGAGCACCTTGAGGACAGGTCAAGTGGCTGCATGTCCCCAGAGCCTAGCACATTGCTCAGTGCCTAGCAAGTTCCTGCTGAATGTGTTGCAGGAAGGGGTGAGCAGTGAGTTCAGAGCAGAGGTCCAGAGGTATGCAGAACAAGGACTATCTCCCCTGGAGGTGTGTGCCTAACTTCCACCTCTGTCTCCCCAGCTAGAAGATCTGGAAGTCACTATAGCTGATCACATCCAAAAAGTCATGAAGCTGAACTTCGAAGCAGCCTGGGATGAGGTAGGGGAAGAGTTTGAGAAGGAGGAAACATTCACCTTGTCTACCATCAAGACCCTTGAAGGTAAAATTCTTGGCGGCTGTTGAAATGCTCCTGTTCTTCCCTCCCTACCCCTGCCCCTCAAGGATCCAGGGCCATGTTTATAGCACATATTTTAGATACCACTTCATTAAAAGACCCTCACAGCAGGGTTAGGGGATGGGGGAGTTGTGGTGGCACAAAGGGGAGACAAGACATGTGGTTTATTGATACTGGGATTTCTCCCTACAGAGGCTGTGGGAAATATTGTGAAATTCCTGGGAATGCACCCGTGTGAGAGGTCAGACAAAGTGCCAGATAACAAGAACACCCACATGTTGCTCCTGGCTGGTAAGCAGCATTTCCAGTTGGGAAGTGCCTGGCAGCCTGGATGCTGCTGCATCCTGGGCTGAGGACTTCCACTGGAAACAACAGACTCAAAATTGGTGTTGAAAATTTACAAAGTAAAAACAGACCTGCAGTGAAATGGCTCCCTTCCAGACCCTTTTACTATTACAGACAATACCATTATGTCCCTCTAGTGATTTTTATGGATATAAAAGCTAATATTTCCCTTTTTTAATTCAAATGTTTATGTACAAATGGTTTTGCTTTTCACTTGACAGTGTATCTTGGAGATCTTCCTTATCAATATATAGAGTTTACTCATTTTTAAAAAAAATTGTGGTAAAATATACATAAAATTTACCATTTTAACCATTTTTAGTTGTACAGTTCACTGGCATGAAGCACACTCACATTATTGTGCAATTATTGCCACCATCCATCTCCAGAACTTTTTTATCTTCCCAAACTAAATCCTCATTCTTTTTTGTAGCTGCTTCATATTCCATTGTGTGGATGTATCATATTTTATAAAACCAACCTGTATTGATGAACACTTAGATTATTCCAGTCTTTTGCTATTATAAACAATGCTACAGTGAATAATCACATGCATACATATATACATATACACATACATACTTTATTTTCCTTGTATGCACTGAGGTCAAAATGCATTTCTCATTTTGATAAATTTTTCCAGTTCCTTCCTTAGGAATTGTATGACTTTCTTCCCACACTCTGGACAATGCAGTGTGTTATCAAACTTTATGACCTTTGCCAGTCTGGGTGAAAAATGGTTTCTTAGTATAGTTTTATTTTACATTTCTTGTAGATAGAATAACGTTAAACATCTCAAATGTGAAGTACCATTTGTATTTGCTGCTCTGTGAATTGTTTTCATATTCTTTGTGTAATTTTCTAATAGGAATGGGACTTTAAGCATTCATTATGGAACTTTTTAAACAAACACAAAAATTGAACAGTATAATGAACCCCCATGTGCTGCTTATCTTCCAGCTTCAACAACCACAGTATTTTAAAGCAAATTACAAATACAGCATTTTGTATATTAAATCTTTCTGTATCTGTGTGTTCCTCTAATAGATAATGACTGTGTTTAAAAGGGGAGACAATATAATTATCACACCTAAGACTATGAACAAAGGGAAATGAGAGATATTTTTTTTTGCTGAGTGTTTATAAACACGGTTGGGAGTAGCTCTGCTTCAGTGCCCTACTCACAGCTGACAGCCCTGAAGGCTGTGTTTCCGGCCACACTGAAGCAACCCAGTCCCCTGGGTTTTGCAGATATCTTCTCTGTGGTTTTGTTATGGTGGGACTGTCCCTTCATCTGTGCTCTTAAATTCAGCCAACATGTGTGAGAGCCTCTATGACACCATAAGGTACAGCCTTATATGTCCATTAATTCGTTTGATCTTGGTAGAAGCTTAAAATATGATTAGTATTATTATCTCCTCCATTTTGTAGCTGAGGATACTACAGCTCAGAGAGGTAAAGTGACTTGTGCAAGGCCTCACTCAGGGATTTCAGCCCAGCTTTCCTGGTCCCAGATCTACTCTCATTTAACTACCCCAGACCTGCCTGATCAATAGCTGCAAATGCCACCCTTAGTATAGCCTCTGCAGCCCACTTATGACTTACACACCTGTACTTCTCTCTTCCCTTCTAGGTGTGTTCCGGGGTGGTCATGACATCCTGGTGCGCTCCCGGCTGCTGCTTTTGGATGGAGTTACAATGCAGGTGACAGCCAGAAGTTCAGAGGAGCTGCCAGTAGACATCATCTTAGCATCTGTGGGCTAAGAGGCCAGCCTACATCGGCTCTACTCTTAACTCTTTCCACTCAACACTATGCAGAAGTCGCACCTTCCTTATATACCCAGTGGAAACTCCTTCCTAAGCTTCTGTATTCAAAAACAATTAGGAATCATTGGATTTTTTTTTTTAATGTAACACTTGCCAAGGACTGTTAGGGGATAACTTTTTTTTTTTTTAAATAGGGGATGATTTTAGCTTATCCTAGAACTTGCTGTCCTGCCTGCCAGGGAAGGACATCGCAAATTAATAGAATGCTTGCATCTCTTGAATTTATCCCCAAAGAAACCAGCTTATTGCTATAAATAAATCAGCATGTATTTATTGAATGACTTCTACTTCTGCAGATTCATGCTTTGGGACTCCACCTTCCCCTTCTAAGCCTCCCCATCATCAAGAACACCTACTCTATTCCCTGTGCATCCATAGTCCTTTGGCTGCTGTATTTACCATGAAACAGGCCCCTCTCCTACTGTTCTCTGATCAGCCCCACACTCAGGAACTGGAGCAGTGCAAGTTTGCTGAGGGAATTACAGCAGCTGACAGGCTTTGAATTCATGTATTCTGGCATTTTCACAACCACCCTCCTTTTCTAGGTGATGGATGGAAGCCCCAGAGGGTTTGGAGTGATGACCTAGGTCAACATCAGGTCTGAGGTGGAGTGTATGCTGGAGTTTGCCTGCTCCCACTTCAGTCCAATTCCAGGAATGCACAAAGGGGAAGAACAGCCCTTAGAGAGCACTCTCAATTGGCTCCAGATACAGAAATCCCTGGTTTATGTCCCAAGGAAACAGGCTCAGAGCCACCTCAGCTACATTTTTAAACTCAAGCCACGTGCTTTAGCAACTTTGTGGCTGAAATACACCTGCAAAGCCCAATTTTAGAAATCTAGGCCTCACCCTTAGTAAAGATTCAGATCTGGGTGGGGAAAGGGAGGACCCTGGAAGAGCTCATTCTGGTGCCCACTGAAGTTAGAGTGTCTTGTGTATTCGTGGAAGTTTTCCTGATAGTCCAATTTTGGGCCCAAACTATGAGGCAGTTAGTAGGATTGTGAAGTAAAGAAAATGTTTCCTGATTTCAGCCCTACAAGCAACCTGGTGCCCTAGAGTTATGGTCCCCGCTATACAAAAGACACCTGAGGTTCCCTGGGACTCATTTAGAAACTGCGAGGGCCGCGGGGATAAGCCTTGTCCTTGCGCGTCCTTCCTTAGCCCTACTGCTCAGGTTCGCCCTGGGAGGGAAGTTAACCCCGCAGAGGAACAGACGAATATGGAGGAAAGTGGGGCTCGGAGAACCCAAAGGCACTCCTAGTCTCCAGGGGCGCTGGGGCCACCTTCTGTCGTCGTGATGGGGGAAGGGAAGATGCCGGAACTCGGAACTCCAGGGACGTCGCGGGCACTAATCGCCACTTGGGGGCGGGGCTTGGCGCCCGAAAGCGCACCGGCGCGATGTGAGGGCGGGGCTGGAGGCAGGAAAGCTGGTGGCCGAGCAGGACTGAAGCGGGCGGGCTGCTGGGCGCGTGAGGAGTGAGGCGGCGCGGGTGAGGCTTGGCGGACTGCGGAGCGAGTTAGGAGTGAGGCGACGCGGGCGAGCGGCGGGGTTGAGGAACGGGGGGCGCTGGGGAGAGTTAGGAGTGAGGCGACGCGAGCGGCCGGCAGGGGTAAGGGAAGGGGGGGCGCTGGGGAGAGTTAGGAGTGAGGCGAC